GAAAATTTGGTTGCGCTTAAAAAATCGCCCCTGGAATGTTTCATTCCTAAAGACTTGTTCCCGGAAAAGTTTCTCACTGGAGATATTCGCTATAGAAAAATTCTCATCCTGAAAGTGTAGCCTCGAAAAAATCACTATTGTGTTTGATCTTCAAATACTTGTTCCTGGAAAATTCCTTCTGGGAAAATTCCCTATGGAAAAATTCGCTTCCGGAAAACGTAGGCTTGAAAAAGTCGCCTTGGGGATATGCGCACCGGAAAATTCTTTCCTGGAATAATTGTATAACAAATGGTTGCCCTGGAAATTTAGCCTCGAAAAAATCACCCTTGGAATATTTGACATTAAAAACACGTCTCGCCCTGGAAAAATTCGCTATGGAAAAATTCTTATCCTGAAACACGAAAAAACTTTTCCCTGGAAAACTTGCGTGGAACATTTGCCACCAGAAAATTTAATCCGTTGGAATATTTGACCCACAAACACTCGTCCTGACAAAATTTACCCTGGAAAATTCGTGTCTCGAAAATCCGCCGATTCCTGTAAAAAATCGCCCTTAGAAATCTCCTGAAAATTCGCCCTCATAAAAAAAGGCTCGTAAAAATCTACCTTCGCTAGAATACTTGCGTGAATAATTCGTTTCCAGAAAATTTGGTGCGCTCTGAAAATCGTCCCTGGAATATTCGACCCCTAAAGACTTGCCCTCCGAAAAAAATATACGAGACAAATTCGCTATGAAATGATCACCTTTTTAAAATGGCTCCGTGCAAGATTCACCCCCAATAATTTTCGGGAGGGTTCTTCCTGGAAAACTTCTTTCCTAAAAAATTTGCCTACTGAATAAAGTCGTCCTTGGAAATATTTGACACCCAAAAACTGCAAGGAAAATTGTTCTACGAAAATTTGCTACTCCGACAAATGTACCTACGGAAAATGTAGGCTCCCAAAATTGCCCTTGAAACATTCGTCCAGAAAAGGAAATTCATCTACAGAAAATGTTGAAAAAATCATCTTTCGAATATTTGGTCCCCAAAAAATTGTCAAAGAAAAATGGAAGTTTATGCCCTGGAATACTCCCTTAAAAAACTCGCCCCGGAAACTTGCGTGCAAAACTTGTATCCAGAAACGTAAAAAAATCGCCCTTGAAATATTTGACCCACAAAAATTGTCCCCTCAAAATTCGCCTTGGGAATCTTTGCCGTGGAAAAATTCATTTCCAGAAAATTCGCATACGGAAAATTTGGCCTCCCCAAAATAGACTTTGGAATATATTGGCACTTAAAATCTCGTCTGCGAAAAATTCGCCCTGGGAAATCCTCTTCTCGTCTTAAAAATTTAAGATTGATAATATTGCGCTTGGAAAATTTTTCCCTGGTATATACTTGTGAAAAAAATTTGTCCCCAGAAAAAATCCACCGTTCAAATATTTTACTCGCAAACTCTAGTCCTGGTAAAAATTTGTCTTGGAAAAATTCTAGATGCAAACAACTTTGAATGTTTGGTGTACACTCCTTTGTGTTAATTTGAAATTAGAATTAACGTGAATTAATTAGAATTAACGAGAATTAATTTGAATTAACGTGATTCAATTAGAATTAACGTAAATTAATTTGAATTAACGTGAATAAATTTGAATTTACGGGAATTAACTTGAATAAACGTGAATTAACATGAATTTACGTGAATTAATTTGAATTTTTAGTGTACACCAAAAATGGTACTTGTTTCCCCCTAGGTAAACCGTTTTTACAGCCTGTAAGTATATATGTGCCTATATTAAAAAATAGATGCAATACATGAGTGTAATCAGGAAAACGAATGCAAAAAATGTACGTTAAGATATACAGGGTGCCCATTTTTTGAGCTCCAACATTTTTGAAAAAACTGAAATTTTCGATTTTGTTATCGAAAAAATTCAAGGTACTCTAGACTTGGAAGTTACAATAGTTAACTTTTTTATTTTTTATGGCAGCCGTATTGAATTGTAGTATTTTGGAATAAAGTTCGTTTTTTTTATTACAATGATGATGTACTTTCCAAAGTACTTTTGCATAAACGGTTTTTTCCATATTTTAACGGAATCTTAAAGTTGAAACATATCATATGATAATCATTGTAATCAGAAAAACGAACTTGATACCAAAATGCTAAAATTCAATATGGCTGCCATAAGAAATAAAAAAGTTATCTACTGTAACTAGTAACTTCCAAGTCTAGAGTGCCTTGAATTTTTTCGATAACAAAATTGAAAATCTCGGTTTTTCAAAAATGTTGGAACTCGAAAAACCGGCACCCTGTATATCTTTATATCTTTTACACCTTTTACACCTTTTTCGGAAATCAATTACAATACAGTTTTTTTTTAAATTGCAGCTGATAATTAAAACTTTTGATTGAGACGTCCGATCGAAAAAGTACGAATTGTTTTAGATTCTACGCACCAAAATTAATAAGAAAAAGTGTTTTCCCGAGAAATTTTGGTGCAGTCGATTTTTGGTAAAAAAGGAAGGTTATACACTGCCTTTTTTTGAGCTCCGAAAAAAAAATTGTCTCAGATCGACCCGGAAAAAATTTTTTTTATAGAATGTGGCCTGTAGAATCCATAATTTCAAACAGTTCCAAGATTGGGCTACTAGTTCAAAAGTTACAGCCCTTTGAATTTTCTTTCGAAATTGTTTTCTAGTCAGGGGCGGGCCAGGTGGAATTGCATAGGTTACGGGCCATTAAAGTATTAGTGTAGTAATGAAGGTGGCGGGGGGTAGCTCTGCGGTGCATCACAAAAACATTTTTTGCTTCATTTTAAAGTACTCCTTTTTGGGAGATCAATTACAATACAGGTTTTTTTTTAATTGCAGCTGATAATTAAAAGTAACAAAATATACAATCCAAACGTGAAACGAGGCGCGTCGCCTATCATTGTATTTCAGCACTTTCATGCTACGACAAAAAATGATAAATTCATTGTAAAACATTTCAATTAAAACATAATTTTTTAATTTTTTAACAACCTAACATCAACCCCAATTAGAGAAACGTGTAATAATTTATTAATAGTGCAAGAAACTAAATACAGCACATACTTATAAATTTCCAACGGGCCATTATGACGTACAGGCCAGGTGGCAACCGCCACCCGCCCCCCCCGGGCCAGTCCGCCCCTGTAAACACGCCAATTTGCCCCAATTGCATCTCTTCAAATAATCGAGATCCCCATGTTTGAGCTCGAGTACCCTGTATAGGGTGTTCCCTTTAAAAAATTCCAACATTGGGCCAAATCTCAGATATGGTGGTCCAACAATTTTTTTAACTACGCCACTGATTCTACGTGAAAATATTTAAATAAAACCGCTTTACCTTTTTTTGGGTGATGGGTAGTAAGATATCATAGCATGATCTTAGCAGGAATGAGTCAGTGAATCTTTATTTCTCTTAGGAAGAGAGATAAAGACTCAAAGGTTTAAGAACGAATGTTGCACCGGGGGGTCGGGGGGGTATGGAATACTCCAGTATACAAAAATCTTATGATAATCAAAGGATCATTGAATATTCCTAGAAATGTGTTGGTGGGGGGTATTCCATACCCCTCAAACTTCCCGCTAGTACATTATTCCCCAAACCTGTCTGTCTTTCACTTTCTAATTAAAGATTACCATAAACAGAATCAATCTAGCTACGTTTGTTTCTGAGATACAGGGTGAAAACAAAAAGTTTGAATTTTTTTGATGTTGTCATATCTTAATATACCCATGTAATATGAAAAAAGTTAAAAAACTGTTTATTTTAGATAAGTTTACGTAGTCAAAAAATTTTTTTGCTCACCGTTTCTGAGATTTGACCCAAAGTTAGTATTTTTTAAATACAACACCCCGTATATCTTAACGTAAATTTTTTGCATTATTTTTCCTGATTACAATAATGCATCACAACGTATTTTTGCAATTTTAGCGATGTACCTATATATGTATGGAATACCTACACCCCCCCAGTATATGTACTGATGATAATTGAAAGGATCATTGGATATTCCTAGAAATGTTTTGCTAGGGGGTATTCCATACCCCCACCCCACCCCCAGACCCCCCGGTAGTACGTCATTCCCCAAATACTGAGTTAGATATTCTTCAAGACCGTTAATTCATTCTCATGTTTTGAATTAGTAGTATATTTTACCCCCCCCCTTCGTATTTATTTATAATGAAAATTTAAAGACATAATTTACTAAAGGGGTAATTATTCTCAAAGGAAACCCGCCCCAATTAAATAATTACAGCTCTTATATATAGAAAAAAGGCATTTTGATTATTAAGCTGGGAAACGTTATTTGTGTAGAATCTAAAAATGAAATAATATAGGTAGGTATAGGGTGTTCCATTTAAAATAAGCAAGCTGGCGTCAATTCCGGTATAATCGGCAGTCTCAGGCCCTTTATTGCCAAGTTTCTTATTAGAAGATCTAAATAAGAAAAGTAAATTTATCGATAAAAGAAGTAATAACGTTTTTTTTATGTAACACCTCTGTATATTTTTACATATACAAAGTGTTCCATTTTCTTGGTCATACTCAATTGTTTTTATGATCTGGAAATTCTAATTAATTAATTAGAAACAAAAATTCGAAGTATGCGAGAAAGCGTTCTACTTTGGGGATGTATATGCAGGCACTTAAAATATCCCGTGGCGATTCCCACACGAAAAAAAGTGTCAAACCCACATACTTTTAGTGGTATAAGAAACGCTCACGTGACCACCATCATCAGAATCGATCTCATTGACACATTGCGGCGTGCTGGTCGCACGTTTATCATCGAGACCGATCTCTGTTCTTTAAATAAATCGCCAAACGGCAATGCTGGACCAACAGCGGCCAGGTCTGTGATTGGTCGACCGCTTAACTCGGCGACGAATGGAGGACGAGCAAAGTTGTGGAAGGGCGCCGATTGGAGCGCGCAAAAGCCCTTGTTAAATATATAGGTACCGCTTAAAATAATAACGTAACAAGTCAGTGTCTGCGTAACAACAGTCTGCGTATAAATTGTCTACAATTCACTTTATTAAACGAATTCTGGCTTCGTTAAGCTCGATTACCAATCAAATAAATTGAGAAGATTAAATAAATTGTTTTGATTTCGCGTTAATTGCATTAAACAATCCGCTTTAATTAATCCCTTTATAAACCCTAATCAAATCAACGCACATTTTTTTTAATATACCAAGTGCGCGCGTAATTCGAAGACACCATCATCATGGACGGCGCCCCCTTCGAGGATCCCAACTTTCCCGATTACGCGAACCAACCTCTGCCCTCGCTAAATTCGACGCTCCTGCAAAACAAGAACAACCAGGACAACATAAACGCCCACTCGATACAGATGATGCTCGGCCTCCAGCAGCAGCAGGACGTCTTCTCGCAGCTCGACTACAAGAGCGGCGCGGGCGGCCAAAAATTGGACAGCTCGGTGATGCACCACGATCTCGGCCCGCTGTTTCAGCAGAACGCGATGGAGACGATCAACAATAACGGCGGCGTGAAGAGGAAGAACGACGACATCGTCATGCTGCAGTCGCAGAGCGAGATACCGACGACGACCACTTCGGCGACGACGAAGAAGAACGACAAGAAGAAGACCGATAATAACGGCGTCAAAAAAAAGAAAACCAGGTGAGTCGAATAGTTTCACCCTTAAACGCGCGGGATGACAGTTGCGCGGAAGTAAAATCAGTAGCCATATGGGGTTGGCTTTTATGCAGGCGCGAGACTAACTGATGCATCCGAAACTAATTCATTTATTATTAATCGTTTTGGAACTTCCGTTTTTGATGGCCTAACAAATATTTGCTACTACTTATAGGTACAGGGTGTAAGTTCGTAGGTGTAAAAAAATAGGTAGGTAATAGACCTTTTCCTGGTAGTTTTTAAAAATTCCGAAAAATCTTACTCCAATTTTAAGCCACAACACAATCGATCATTGGAATTTTAGAAGTGCAGAATTTACAAATCTTAGAAATATCTTTAAAAATCTTGAATTAAAGAAAGAAATGAGAAATCTTGCATGCGAATCTTGAAAATTTAGGTACCGAATTTTATGTTTGACGAATGACACCATTAAAAATCTTAAGAATCTCAGTGGAAGCTATAGCTCTAGAATTATGTGCAGGTGCACCATCCTGCTGTATCCAACAGTTTCCAACCTTAAAGAGCATTAAAAGTTGCCGCGGAAAAGTGTTATTGGTTGTGCTCTACGTCAAATATTAACGAAAGAAGAAAATAGATTTTTTAAAAATATTTTAAAAACCAAAAAAATGCCTAAGGATTTCTAGAATGCCAATACTGGCCCTTCCTATCTTGCACAGAGTGTATTGCTACCTAGATACCATAGGAACAAATGATCATAGGAATCTGGGCATTTAATAAACCTCGGGAATCTCTGAACCACAGAAAAATAAGGACTGAATTAATCTTAAGGGGAAAACCGAAATCGCGATAATTTTGTAAATCTTTCTCGAAAAAATTTGATCTTTTCTGAATATTGGGAACTCAGATGTATTCACCTTAGAGTTAATGACACACGTCCATATAGAAATTTAGGAGTTAAAACTTAAGGGTCCGTTAACTTGGCCCCCCCACTGAGAGATTTGATAGTCGTATTATTTTGAAATGAATGCGCTCGTTATGCGCTCATAAGCGCCACCGATAATAACTCTTGCGCCATTATCGTTTTTTAGAAATCCGAAAAAACATTTGGGGGGGGGGAGTGAACGTAGCCCCCCCCCGTACGTATTTTGTCCCTTGTAACTAGGTCATCTGATACATTTGGTTATGCCCTCAATTGCGCCACTTGAATTAAAGCTAGCGCCATTACGGTTAAGCCGTGACAAATTTTCAAAAAGTGGGGGGGGGCCAACTTAACGTTTTTAAAAGTTACTTTTTTTATCATTTTTTCATACGAAATTGTACTCTCAGGTATGCGCTGAAATGCGCCGTAAAAAGATATCTTTGCGCCATTATTGTTTTTTGGTTATCCTTAAATATATTTGGGGGGGGGCCAAGTGAACGGAATCCCCCATAACGTATTTTGCTACCGGTATTTGTGCCACTTGATACATCTGGTTATGAGCTCAATTGCGCCACTTGAATTAAAGCTAGCGCCATTACGGTTAAGCCATAAAAAATTTTTAAAAAGTGGGGGGGCTAACTTAACGTTTTCAAAAGTTACGTTTTTTAACATGTTTTTTTCTACTACATCGTACCTTTCATCATGCGCTAAAATGCGCCGTAAACAAAAATCTTGGCGCCATTATAGTGTTTCAGAAACACTATACAGGGTGTTTTTTTGGGAGCTTTAGTTAAACGATTCTGAGAAAGTAAAATAGGTAGGTTTTTAAAATTTGTATTTAGGAGTTACTCCGAAGGCCGAATCGATGTAAAATATTTTCAAAATGGACGCACTTCCGGAAATAACTTTTGAAAACGCTAAGTTAGACCCTCCACTTTTTAAAAAATTTTTATGGCTTAACCGTAATGGCGCTAGCTTTAATTCAAGTGGCGCAATTGAGCTCATAACGAGATGTATCAAGTGGCGCAAATACCGGTAGCAAAATGCGTTATGGGGGGATTCCGTTCACTTGCCCCCCCCCCCCCCCCCCAAATATATTTAAGGATAACCAAAAAAACAATAATGGCGCAAAGATATCTTTTTACGGCGCATTTCAGCGCATACCTGAGAGTACAATTTCGTGTGAAAAGATGTTAAAAAAAAGTAACTTTAAAAACGTTAAGTTGGTCCCCCCACTTTTTGAAAATTTGTCACGGCTTAACCGTAATGGCGCTAGCTTTAATTCAAGTTGCGCAATTGAGCGCATAACCAAATGTATCAGGTGACCTAGTTACAAGGGACAAAATACGTACGGGGGGGGGGGCTACGTTCACTTGGCCCCCCAAATGTTTTTTCGGATTTCTAAAAAAACGATAATGGCGCAAGAGTTATTATCGGTGACGCTTATGAGCGCATTCATTTCAAAATAATACGACTATGAAATCTCTCAGTGGGGGGGGCCAAGTTAACGGACCCAAAACTTAAAGAATCTTATTTATGAAAACGTATCGCAGTACTTATCTTACAAAATTTTAAGAATTACGGGGCTCAGGAATATCAGGCGGATTTTAAAACTGTTGGTAAACATGAAGGGTATTTACCAAGTACCATAAGACCCTCCCCCCCCCTCCCCCAGACCGCAGGTGCTACGTTCGTTTTCAAACCGTTGAGCCCTTATCTGTTTCCCTCTAAGAAAAATAGAGCCCAATATAAACGGATTGGAAGGATAACAAGCAAATTATTATTATTATGGTCGGTTATTATTATTATCGGTGTATCTTGTGAGAACTCAGGTCTAGCCTGGTTAACTAATCGCACGGATTACAATTAAGTAACGGTTAGTGTCTGTGTCTGTGTCTGCTGAAGTTATGTAGGGTTCTAAAAAAAATAAAATAAAAAAAAAATAAAAAAAATCACACATTATTATTATTATTATTATTATTATCAGGTGTTTTTTTAATGATAGACTTGCAATTTTCGCGACCCTAGGCCTTTTTTTGTAAAACTTTTAATACCACAAACCGAATCTATCTACGTTTGTTTTTGACATACGGGGTGAAAGCGAAAAGTTTGACTTTTTGGAATATTATCATATTTTACTAACCATGGAAGATAGAAAAAAAGGTAAAAACGGCCTATTTTAGTTGATTTGGCGTAGAATCCAGTGGCGTAATAAAAAAAGTTTGTACAACCGTTTGACCCAAAGTTGGTATGTTTTAAATGCAGTACCCTGTATATCTAATCGTCAATTTTTTGCATTCTTCGTATGATTACATTGATTTATCACAACAAATATTTTTTATATCATATTTTTCAAAATTTTCAAATAACATTTCTACCATTCGCCATTTTTATTGATTGCTATCGGCTGCCATGGATACAATAAACAAAACAAAATCTCCATGAATCCATGGCCGACTATTTAAAAACCATAAAAAATAAGGTTTTGATTTTTAGTTCTGACTAAAATTAAAAATATATATGCTGTGATACAACAATGTAATCAGGAAAAATAATGCAAACAAAATGACGTTAAGATATACAGAGTGTTGCATTTAGAAAATACCAACTTTGAGTCAAATGTCAGAGACGGTAGTCTAAAAAATTTTTTGACTACGCCACGGGATTCTACGTAAAAATATCTACCTTTTTTCTGTCTTCCATGAGTAGTAAAATATAATGGCGTCCTAAAAAGTCAACATTTTCGATTTCACCCTGTATCTTACAAACAAACATAGCTAAATTGATTCTGTTTGTGGTTTTCGCAAAAAAAGTCGCAAAAACCGCAAGTTTCTATCATTAAAAGCAGCTGAGATACACGGCAGTCTCAACCAAAATAGGGCACACAGTAGTTTCTCACCACCAACTTGAAAAATTTGAAATAAGTCCATTTCGAAGATTGAAAAAATTAGATAACAACTTCCTTAAAAAAACATAGGGAGGGGGTGGTTAACGGGGGAAGAAAAATTTTACTCAAGTTTTTTTATTCGGGCACTGATCTTATTGCTTTTGTTACAGAACAACTTTTACCGCTTTCCAATTGGAAGAACTAGAAAGAGCCTTTGAACGAGCCCCGTACCCGGACGTTTTCGCCAGAGAAGAATTGGCACTGAAACTGAACCTAAGCGAATCCCGAGTGCAAGTCTGGTTCCAAAACCGTCGCGCCAAATGGCGCAAACGAGAGCCGCCCCGCAAAACCGGCTACATCAGCTCGAACTCCCCGACCTCCAACATCAACAACTTCAACAACATCCCCAGCCCCTTCACTCAGGCCAACACAAACATCAACACCGCTCCGCCCGTCGACACCTGGAGCTACCAGTCCTCCTACGATCTCGGCCCCCACATCAACCTGCTCAACTCATCATCGACGCCTTACTCCGGTTTCGGCTCCCCCCAAAACGGCTACTCCTACATGCTGAACTCGCACGACAACCAACTCTTCGGCGCGCCGATGCGCTCGCACGACTACGGAGCGCCGCTCGCCAACCAGAGCCCGCCGATGTCGCGCGAGTACTCAATGCTGCAAACGCACTCGCCGACCGCCGACGAGAACTCGATCGGCGTCAAAATCGAGTACGTCAACCACAGCCTGAACGGCTCGCCCGAACGCTACACGAACATGTCACCCAAGTACGACGCCGACCTGATGCACGAGGTCAAGCAGAACGAGTTCAAGGACGCGATCAAAATGGAGCCCAACTCGAATCAAAGTTACGTTACGCTACCCCCTTTTCTGAATTAGTTAGATTCGTTAAGAAACCCCACACTTATTAATTAATTGTATATAGAGACATGTGCCATATTAATTACCTAGTTATGCCAAATTTATTTTAAGACTTAAATTAGGAGAGTAAGTAGAAAATGTGAATTTTATGTGCCATATGTAATACAAATGTAGCAATACTTAACGCGAGTGTTTTTAATGCTTAACGCCTTTGTAACTGTATATCGGTGAACACCCGGTACATAATAGCTTAATTGAAGATAGTCTTCAATAGATGAATCTATTATTTTTGTATGTACCTACGTAACTTTGAATAAAACTTGTTTGTCAAATTTTTGTATCAGTGAAAAATTGCAAAATTCAAAAACAAACGATCCCCATAGAAGAAGTTTATTATTTATTATGAATTTTTAATCTTTAGGAATTATTGAAGTATGTCCCAGGACGAATGCCGTCTATTTATTTTTTGAAAATTTGAGAAATGCATTTAAAATAATTTCAAATTAATGGCACTTCCGGCTATGCCAGAAAGTGACGCCAATTTGCGCTTTAGTGGACTGTGTTTATGCCTTAATTATAAATAAGTTATACAGGGTGTTCAGAAACTGATTATTAAAAATTGAATTGAAGAATTCACTAAAAACAAGTTGATTTTTTAATGGGAAACCCCCGAGTCTTATTAAGTACACAAAATTAAGGTATAAAGTGGTCTGACTATTCCAAAAAATGTTTATTTTTGAAATTTTGACTTTGATATTTTTTATTGTATATATTTCTGAAGTGCCTCTTCTTATAAAGGTATCCTCATTTTTAATGTTTAATATAAGAGGCATTTAAAAAAATATGGGATTTTCATTATGAACGAATTTTTTCAATTCAATTTTTAATAATGTTAGTTTTTGAACCCCCTGTATTTATTTATAATCAAATATCAACACAGCCCACTAAATGGGAACAGATATTACACATTTTACACACACGACCCCTCCCTTCACATGGAAGCATTTGGTAACTGTTCGAGCCCCCTTCCAAAAACCTAAAGTCGAAACAAACGTACCCTCCGAATTACGGAGGGGTGTTTTGCCTCCCCCTCCTTCCGAACCGATCGTTTTTTTCTTCTTGGGGACGTTCTAGCTTTTACAATTCCATTCTAAAGTTACTGGCGTCTCTTTACCGAGAATCTAATGGCTACTAATCGATTGATGTGTTATACAGAGCGATTCACAAAATACCCGTTTAACCATATCTGGGACAACCAATGATGCTGTAGGTAGACTTCAACATTTGCATGTTGCAATTTCTCAAAATTTTCAATTGAACTAAAATATTTTCAATATGGAGACATTTCCGGTTATACAGGGTGTCGAAAGCAACGTTCTCATTTTCAATGAAACATTGATACATACTCATACATACAGTGCGTTCGAGATAAGAGGGTCACCTCAATATCTCTTTTATTAAGTCGAGATGCTACAATTTTGTTAAATGTAATTTTATATGTGACACTGCGATCTATCCGGTCACATATTGAAACCTCCGGTACGGCACAGCGTAATCTTTAATAAAAACCTTGAAGAAGTTTCAAGGGTCTCTAATGCACCTCAAGAGTCATGAAATGGAATCCTTTTAGGGGCTTTACTTTTCTTTAAAAGTTTTCAAGGATTGTATAGCGCGTATCCCAGACATCGGGACGCCAGCAGCCGCCATCGAGGCGCCATAAAAGATTAGTCCCCGGTGATAAGGAACGGAAGCGGATGTGACACGTTTTCTCGAGAATGTTCGTGATCTTCCTAGAAACTTTCCGTTATATAAGCATATCGAATTGTGTTTAATGAAAGTTTCAACATCAACGCGGAACAGACGAGTAGTGATTTCGCGCTCGTATGTGATATATTTACACGTACAAGGTGGTCTAAATTGAACACTTTCTTATGAAAACACCCTTTATTTTAAGAGATAAGAAAAATGGACCTAGGTGTCTGGATTGTAAAGAGAAAATCACTCGCGCAAATAGAATTCAGCTATCTCTAATCGTTTGGCCGCTAGGGGGCGTTTCTCAAATTTAGTCGATTTTCTTAATGCCCCATAACTTTCTTATTATTATGCCAAAATCTCATAGGCCACTTTTTTTATGTAGAATCCATTGCGATACACAGTTTTTATACAGGGTGTTCGGTTTTTCTTATACAACCCTAAACTGTATTTTTTAATATGGGTCGCCCTATATATTTTGGAGTTTTTAAAAAGAACGTAAAATTGCCGGGTCCGTTAACTTGGCCCCCCCACTGAGAGATTTCATAGTCGTATTATTTTGAAATGAATGCGCTCGTTATGCGCTCATATGCGCCACCGATAATAACTCTTGCGCCATTATCGTTTTTTAGAAATCCGAAAAAACATTTGGGGGGGGGCCAAGTGAACGTAGCCCCCCCCCAGTACGTATTTTGTCCCTTGTAACTAGGTCACCTGATACATTTGGTTATGCGCTCAATTGCGCCACTTGAATTAAAGCTAGCGCCATTACGGTTAAGCCGTGACAAATTTTCAAAAAGTGGGGGGCCAACTTAACGTTTTTAAAAGTTACTTTTTTTTAACATCTTTTCATACGAAATTGTACTCTCAGGTATGCGCTGAAATGCGCCGTAAAAAGATATCTTTGCGCCATTATTGTTTTTTGGTTATCCTTAAATATATTTGGGGGGGGGGGGCAAGTGAACGGAATCCCCCATAACGCATTTTGCTACCGGTATTTGTGCCACTTGATACATCTGGTTATGAGCTCAATTGCGCCACTTGAATTAAAGCTAGCGCCATTACGGTTAAGCCATAAAAAAATTTTAAAAAGGGGGGGGGGGCTAACTTAGCATTTTCAAAAGTTATTTCCGGAAGTGCGTCCATTTTGAAAATATCTTCATATATACTCTTTAAAAATGACGTTTGCATGGTCATGTTTTAATGAGTTTTTGTGAGACACCCGGTATTTATAAACATTTTAGATATTTCAATTGTTATAAATTCTGTTATCGATTTCATTTGTAAACAATGGACGCAATAAAATGCTTATGTTGGCATGACTTTTCCATTGTATCTGTTACGATCGACTGATCTACTTCACAATGGAATATATGTATATGCGTCGGAGCACCGTTTTGTTGAAATATTATCAATAAGGCCCGTAGTCTCAGAATGTAGGTTTGCAATTAAACGGCATTGTCTACGGTCGTAAATCTACGCGCAAAAACGCAAGGCGGAATTAAGAATCGATATTATCAGAAAATTGAAACGTCACGCCAAAATCGAGCACAATGGGGGGATTCCCGAGCTCCTCGCAAGTTCACAAAAATGTACCATAGACATTTAAAACGGTAGATCGCGTCGCGCTTCCGTCCGCCAGTTTCACCGTGTCGTCCGCCGCAGAGATTGCGCCTCCCCTGACTTCTTTACGTCTTACCGAGCGAGCAATTAAAAAATAATCTAAAATGAACGAGTGCAATAACAGACGAGTAGTCTACTTTGAGTGATTTTAATTGGACGTGTTTTACCCAAGGTGATTCCGTTCATTGTTTTCATAATTCGTCATCCTTGTTAAATTTAAATAAAAACCTGTTCTGACACAATCAGGTCCACATATTTACTAACGGTGACTGTGACAGTGTACCTTGTGGCGATATTTAACTAGGTAAGTTAACGTGACGGTATTTTCTCTCTTATTGACAACTACCCCGCATTTTCAAACTTATACTGTAGCGGATACGGACAGAATTGTCTTTTTGAGTTGCCATGTTTTTGTCCCTCTCGTTCTAGGCCGTCAACAGGCTTGCGCTCACAGAGTGACCCGCATAATGCTTTTTAGAGGTGCGGTGGAAAAATTAATTCTAACCGATAGCTTTTTCATAATTTAATTCATAAATTTGAAAATTATTAAAATGACAGTTTGCTTTATACTAGCTATGGTGTTTTCGAATTCCATTTTATGAATTGGCTAGAGCCCATCAACGTCAGTATATTAATTTTTGTTTCAAAAATCTAATACACCAAGGATTGTATTAAAAAAAGATTCATAAAGATCAAAAGAATTTAAAAAGGGTTTAATGATTAAAAAATACAACAAAATTTCAAGATTTTTGAATTTTTTTATAAATAATAAAAAATTTTATAATATAAAATAATATAATATATAAATAATATAAAAAAAACATTTTAAAAAAAGAATGATCAAAAAAGATAAAAACTGTATATTTTAGATATCTACATAAAATTTATTGGTTTCGTAAAAAAAAATTTGGACCACCGTTTCTGAGATTTAACTCAATGTTGGAATTTTTTTAATGCAACACACTGTATATTTTAAAGTCAATTTTTTCATTTTTGTTCCACCTATATTTTTTTTATATAATTACGAGTGAAATTATATATCATATTTTTAAAATTATTGAAATTAAATGTTTCTACCGTCAGCCATTTTGTTGATTGGTATCGGCCGCCTTAGTTGGCATCAATTCATGGCCTACTATTTAAAAACCGCAAAATTTTATTTTTGGTTCAGTGCTAAAATTTAAAAAAAATGGATTGTCATACATCAATGTAACCAGGAAAAAGGATGTAAACGAATTGACTTTAAGATATACAGGGTGTTGCACATTGGATCGAATTTCAGAAACGGTGGTCCAACAATTTTTTTTATTACGCCATTTCATTTTACAATACTTCGTTTTACTATTTTTGAATACTTTACGCCCAAGGCTAAGGGTTTTATTAAGTAATTTAAGGGACGATCGATTTTATTTGTCCATAATTGACAAACATATATACAACATACAAAATAAAAAAAACAACCGACAGTCTTTCTAATACAAAGCCGCGTCGTTACACAGATTTCGGGAACAAATCTCGCAGTCACGTTGGTTTGAGGCGGGACATCCACTGCCGACACAATCTCTGATAGTACGTTGAGTATTGGTCTGAACGTACATAATGCAGTTGCCACTGCAATACGTGGTGTCCGAGGTTGCCGATTGGAGTGTTTTGCAGTAGTGATTCGTACTGTTGCAATAGTAGCACTCTGTCCCTGTTTATTGTTATCAATTATGTAATGTCAGTTTCAGATAAATTGAGCAAACTTACCCACAACCACGGCGCCACAGAGAAGAACGGTAGCTAACAGAACTTTGAAATACATGTTTCAGAATAACTAAACGGTATAGTGCCGATCGTCGAATTTATACCCGTGGATGAAGGATACAATTTAAAAATAGATCATAATTTTATGATCAAAACACTTACTTAAAACTGATGAAGATAGCAGATAAAACACTCTAGATTTGAATTACATACACCGCATACACGCGGATGAAACAAACATAAACAAAATCGCAACATTTCCGAAAAATCTGTAGGTCCCTCTGAATGGTATATGCATTCAATATAAGTCATTGAAGTACGAGGCTCCATTTGGGCCGAGTACCTTAATTTCCGAGTCAAATAGTGTCATTTTACTGACGAGTTTTGTATTAAATTTTACCCAAAATAGTATTTTAATATCAAATTTCAATTTTCATACAGAACTTTTGATTAATGTCAATCTGTCAGTGATGACAGGAGTCATTATAGACTTGACCAATGTGACAGGTGCGGCCGGAAAAGTCGTTTTACTGCCTCTTGTCATGGAAACCAAAATTTCCTGAGATAAAGTAGGCATGAAAATGAAGGGTTCATGACGTTTTTGATGGGTAAGTTGGGATCAAATTACTCCCTAATTTTGTATAAACCTTTACAAGGCGCTAAAAATATATTACGTATCATTTACTACAGCGTTTCTAATCTGCAAATAGAAAAATATAATCGATCAGTAATAGACACAATCCCGAACTTCAAAACACTTGGATATTGATATAACTGATAATCCCCTGACAAATATTATGTATTTCTCAATAAAATTGATCAAAACAACTTCATAAAAAAATGATTAAAATATACCGTAAGTTTGATTAATTCTTAGGGGACAACAAACTAGGGATGGCCAATTTTTGTCACTCCAACAAATCCCCACTAGGAAATTCAAATCACTCCACACAAATACAAATTTATCGCAACAAAATGACACACATCGGCAAATTCAAAAATTCAAATCTCCCAGACAATTTCAAACTTACCGCCACAAAATGGCGCAACCAATCACAACACAGCACGTCTGACGTCATAAAAAAGTGGAGATGATGGCAGATTGATTTCTACTAGTAATAGCACGCGAGTGTCTCTAATAGGTAAAGGTTAGATAAAGGTGACCAAGAGAAACGCAGAGTAATAAAGAAACGGAATTGTCAAAAAAAAAATTTCAAATAGAATGATGTATGTATAGGGTGGTTCAAATTCGTGACCCACCTAGGATACTGCAATATTACATACTGTAGCAAATATTTCATAAATCCCGGTACAAATCGAAGCGCCATGAAAGATGAGTCATCGGCGAAGGCGGATATGGCGCAATCATTCCGAGAGAACTAACGCGATTATTGTTGAACATTCCGAAGCGTTCTAAGAGCATTCTAGAACAATTGTTCTTTGCTATATAAGCAAACGGAATTGCGTTTTCATTTTCAGTCAGTTCCAACATCGACGGCTTGAGTTATATTATGAATCATGAGTGATAAATAATAATTAATTTAACCCATTTTAAGATTGTTATAAATTTATTGTGAATTATTTGTAAATAAATAAACGACGTAATTAAATTTACGTTATTACTATACTAGTACTAGTCAATGTATATACTGTATCCATGGGGATTTCCGAAACCATAGAAGATACGATGATGGTTAAATCAGAGAAAAGATGCGCAATTAAAGAGGTATTATGATGATTTAAAGAAAAAATAAGAAAATTCCGATTACTCCCGTAGATATGCCAGAAAAACCGCCATTTTTCTGGCATTATTTGCACAGATACAGAAGAAATTGAAAATACTTTCACGTTGCCATTATTTGAGCTATACAAGACACCGTTGAGAGATTTCCAACACAACGTTTCGTTTCGAAGAAATCATCATCAAGTTTATTTTTGTATATGACTCGTACAAAAAGTACACACTGTATTGAGTAGTATTTTTTAGGTTGATCTATTGTATATTTTAGGTTTATATAGGTAAAAAATATCAAAAAACTTTTTGTGCAAATGTCAACCATAGATAGTTGTGCATCTACAAAAACCATTTTTGAATGTACAGGGTGGCCAACTAAGAATGTGAGGTACTGTATCTGAGAATCTATCCATCGCAGAGGCTTGCGGTAAAAAACTTTATTACTAAAAACGGCCACGAGCAAAACCTGGAAAATATTTTTAAGTTTTTGAAATGACTGCTAGGGGGCGTAACTGCAATCTGGAATCTAAAAAACTGATGTTTCTGTGAATTCCGCTACATTAACCTAACAAAAAAATGTCCGGTCTTTGAAGTTGACGATAATCTGAACAATTTTTGTTTGACAATTTTTCCTGTATCTCTAAAAATGAAGTGGTGGGGGGTATTCAAAGGTTTCCGTAAAGAACACCCTGTCTCATGGAAACAGCTACGCCGATTTAAACAAACTCGGGTTAGTTCAAAAGAGCTCTTCGTCAGCTACAAATATTATACTATTTGAAGTTTTGTTAGTTTCACATATCACCGCTTGAGGGCTTTTTTCGACATTCTGACAGAAATGGTTAATTTTCTCAAAAAAATTAAATGCATTGGTTCGCGAAAACAGCATCTTGATATCTTGAGATTTATTTATATATATATATATATATTTTTATATCGTGGTGGCCAGCATTTCGGGCATTTACGGCGGCATTAAAAGCTTCCTTTTTTAAATTGATTATATAATAAAAATAATTCCGGAAAAATTCGCTTAAAAAAATAAAATTTTGAGGGTATAAAATTTTCTTTGGCCTAAATTTTAGTTTAGGAACAAGATATCGAGATGAGGTTTTCGCGAGCTTGTTTAGGAATCATTTAGCTACTTTTTCATAAAAAAAATCGAACCAACGCATTTAATTTTTTTGAAATTAATCATTTCTGTCCGAATGTCGAAAAAAGCCCTCAAGCGGCGATATGTGAAACTAACAAAACTTCAAATATTATAATATTTGTAGCCGAAGAATATCTCTTTTCAATTAACCCGAGTTTGTTAAAATCGGCTCAGCCGTTTCGAAGATACAAGGTGTTCTTTACGGAAACCTTTGAATATCCCCCACCACTTCATTTTTAGAGATACAGATACAGGAAAAATTGTCAAACAAAAAAGGTTCAGATTATCGTCAACTTCAAAGATCGGACATTTTTTTGTTAGGTTAATATAGCGGAATTCACAGAAAAACCATTTTTTTAGATTCCAGATTGCAGTTACGCCCCCTAGCGGACATTGCAGAAACTTAAAAATATTTTCCAGGTTTTTCTCGTGGCCGTTTTAGCAATAATTTTTTTTACCGCAAGTCTCTACGATGGACAAGTTCCCAGATACAGTACCTCGCATTCTTATTTGGTGTCCCATTTTTACGGTATCAATAGACAACTGATTTTTTTAAATAGAACACCCTGTATATTTTTAGTTGTTTTGATGTCATTTTTTAACCTCTGTATGGAAACCTATTCACTTTTTGGTTTTTTGTCAATGTGGCCAAATTATTAATTTTGTTCCGAACAATTTCCCATAAGCAAGGCCCACTTTGATAAATCGTAGCGATCTTTAAAGTTAAGAAATACATTTCATCAATGAAGTTAATGAACACTTTGGTAATGAGAAAGTTGGATTTAGTGATACAGGGTGTTCACAAAAAAATAGTAAAGATTTCTAATTACAAAGTGTTATAACTATTTTTTTTCAAATGGAACTACAACTATTTTATTTCTTTATTCCAGTGGTGCTCAAACGGTCGATCGCGAATGCTTTTTGAGTCGATCTCGAGAAAAATTTGCGATTTTCAGAGCAGACCTACACATCTACATTGACTTAAAAAGAATGGAGGCGGCGACACCAGGCATATGTCAAAGTATCAAGTATCAAATACTGAATATCCTAAAAAATACGGGGTTTTGGCACAGAGTGCCCCTTACAAAAATTGAAGAGCATACAACAGACTATTGAAGAGAGAAATAAAATAGTGGTAGTTTCATTTGAAAAAAAAATAGTTATGGCACTTCGAAATATGGAAATTTTGCTTTTTTTTGTGAACATCCTGTATCACTAATTCAACTTTCTCATTACCAAAATGTTGCCTTTTATTAGTGGGCGTGTCTTATAGAGAATTATTCGGAAAAAATTAATAATTTGGTAAAAATATACAGGGTGTTCCGTTAACAAAATTTAGTTGTCTATTGACACCGTAAGAATGGGTCACTCTGTACATTTAAAAATAATTTCTGTAGATCTATAGTTCGCATTTGTACAAAAGGTTTTTTGATGACCAGGTATGAGCTAGGAAAGACCGACGCACTGTTGCAGGACAATGTTCCATATAAATACGAGGGTTGTCCAGAAAGTAACATACGTTTTGAAATAAAAAATTGTAAAGAAAATCTTTTATTATATACATTTGTACATGTGTGCCACGCTATGATAAGCCTCAATATGAAAAATAAGCTAAGAGTGTAGCTTCCAAATGTATATAATAAAAATTGTTTCTTACACTCATTCACTTGACTTGACATTGAATACAGTTTCCAACTTCGGTTTTTTTGTGTCGTACCATCGTTGTATTCGTAATCAAAAAATCCCTTTCGACTCGGGTGGAGGACACTTCCAACAACTACTGTGAATAATTTGGATTCTTTATTTTGTTAGGTTTCCCTTGTCATTTAAGATTTTGAATTTGACTAAATAAATCGCGATTCTTAAAATAAAATTGTCAGTTCTAACCCCGTACGGACGTCACTGGTGAAAATTTAAAAAAATCTTTTACGTCAAAAAGGCTCCTTAATGATGAAATTTTTTTCTTAAAATTTTAACACCCTGTAACTCAAAAACCAAGAGGTTTAGGACATATGTTGATATAAACTTTTCTCCTTAAACTCAATCGAGAATTCACACCCTGTATTATCGACACTCAATTAATTAACACCGTGTATATATCACTCTTAACTTTCGTAATTATGAACCGATTTCGACCAAACTTTAAGGGTTGGTGTCAATCATAAATATCACGGTCAAGTTCGTGAATCAGCCATTTTCGCCATATTGGAACAAAATGGCGGACAAGAAATTTACATAGATCTTTTATACATAAATCTACCTACACCTGATTGGTCTAGCTAGCCGAAAGGGATTTTTTATTACGAATAAAACGATGTAGGACACAAAAAAAACAAAAGTTGGAAACTGTTGGTTTCAACAGGATGGTGCACTTGCGCACAATGCCCAAATCGTGCAAGAATATATATGGGACAAATTTTCTGGAAAATGGCTATATAAAATTTAAAAAGTAATTCGAAGCCTTATGCGTATTTAAGGCAGGGAATGTTTAATGTTGGTGTAATGTTTTGGAGGTTTTCCCCTACTCGGTTATAAACAATATTACCTACCTAGATCATTATCAGATACGATTTCTACATATTGACAATTATATTATTTAAATAATGCTCCCAACAACTTTCTCATTTCTTCGACGGAATTTTGGGACATTTTTTGGTAACGAAAATTGCATAATTCATTTATTGTGCTATACGCGTATTTCTGCATCATGATGTATAACAAAAGTTAGGATTTTCCGTGTCGTCATTTTTACAGCGATTGATATTGAATGCGAAGTACATATCATTGACGTAAAGGCCAGAAAGTTTAATAACGTCACGGCTCGTCATTGACTCTTCTGCATTCTCGTGAAAGTGTCCGTTTTTAGGTTACCGCTTTCTCTCTGTTGAGCTTTTAGTCGCAAGTAAAACGGTAGCGTGTGCGTACGTTCATAAAGTGTGTTGTTTCGTTTACAGGATGAAGATCGCTTTAGTGTTGTTCTGTTCGATTCTCTTGCGATCGAGTTATCAACAATGTCTGACGCACAACGATCTAAAACCGCCGCATCCCTCAGGACGTCTCCTGCTGTACTCTGGACAGCAGGAGTTCTCGTTGGCGCTTCTGCAGGCGATTAACAAAGTCACTCCGAGCGGAAACATTTTCTTCTCGCCGTATTCTACGTATCACGCATTGTTAATCGCGTACTTTCTTTCGTCCCATCACACGGAGAAATTCCTGAGAAAGACTCTTAGACTGGATTCTAGTCAGGTAAGCGCGTCATTGAGTTGTGTAATAAATATGTCGCCTGTTTTTATTCCAATTACTAAGAAGGTTATCTGAAAATGTATCCTAAACAGATACGCTCGAACCGATTACATTTGAATTTGGCGACATCTATCGGCGGACGCGCGTACTAAATTTGAATCTTCCAGGACAAAGCGGATTTGTTCAGCGCCTACAAGTTGGACCGATTCACCACCACCATGCGCGCCCTCAACAGTTCGTACGAGTTCACAAACGCCAATCGCATTTACGTGGCCCAACAAATTAGATTGCGCGACTGCGTCACCAACGTCTTCGCCGAGGAGCTGTTCCAAAAGGACTTCAAGTCCAATCCGGAAAGGGCGCGAACCGAAATAAACGCCTGGGTCGAGCAACACACGCACGACATGATCAAGGACTTGCTCCCCGCCGGAACGATCGACGCCGCCACGAACCTGGTGCTTGTAAACGCCGCCTACTTCAAGGGCCAATGGGAAAGCAAATTTGACCCGAAGGATACGAAACCGGAGGTCTTCTTCATATCGCCCTCGAAACAGATTATCGTCGACATGATGCACATCGAAACCGGCTTCAACTACGGTAATACCTAAAATTAAGCTCCGCCCCTAGCTGTACCCCACATTACAGATGTCTCCGAAACACTAATGGCCCACATTCTCGAGATGCCCTACGAAGGTGACGACATCAGCATGTACATCCTCCTCCCCCCGTTCTCAAAGGAGGACGGCGTAGAGACCGTGCTCAAACGGCTCACGCTCGACACCTTCCGAAGCGTCGTCAACGAGTCGATGATCGCCCGACAGGTCAAGGTCTCCCTGCCGAAGTTCCGGTTGGAGCACACCGTCGAACTGACACCGGTAAGCCCCCTTCTACCCCCCTTAAGCTCTTAACTCTCGCACCGCTTATTTCCGACCTCTATCGCACTCACTGTGTAGATCCTCGGAACGCTGGGCGTTCAAAATTTCTTCGAACAAGTCGCCGACTTCAGCGCGCTAACGGGACGGCGCGACCTGTCGGTCGGCGCCGGCATACACAAGGCGAAAATCGAGATTAACGAGGAGGGCACCAGGGCAGCGGCCGCCACCGCCATCTTCTCCTGGAGGATGCTGAGCTCGCGTCCCGAGGTGCCGATCGAGTTTAAATGCGATAGACCCTTCGTGTTCGTGATCTACAATAAAATGATGCACACGATACTGTTTATGGGTGTATATAGACGACCTGAATAGTCTTCCGTTTTTCTATACGCTTCCTAAGGGGCCAACACATTTTTTTTTTTAAATGGTTATAGCTCGGTGAGTGGATCAACTAGTGATGTAAAATTTTTTGATTTTTTTGAAAAATGTCTCGTTTCCAACGACACCACACACAAAACATTTTTTCTACTAGTAATTTAATTAACAAAAAAAATTAAAAATAAGAGTAATTTTTTTATGTTATTTGGTTATTTTGTTAATGCTAAGCGAAAATTCAGAATTTTTCAGTAGAAAAAGAAAATAAATGCGCAAATGGTAATTTTAAATTATTTTTATTGCGAAGAAAACTCAATAATATAAAATATAATAAACAGAGATATTACGATATTAATAATAGTATATATAAAATATATTATAATATAAAAAACAAAAACAAACACGAATCGGAATGTTTTTTAGGCATTTTTTTTATACTTCCCCCACTGCTGGAAAGTACTTGAATTTCGCGGGAAATTTGAAAATGTTTACATCACTAGGATCAACCCATTAGAAATGCAACATATCACGTTGGCCTTTTAGGAGAACTAATTTTCTTTTTCTCTCACTCTACTGTTATAATTTATTTAAGCCTGTAAGATTGTAAATAAATAAACTTTCCACTATTAACACTTTCGAGGTGTCGGTTCTTTTAACTGTAGCCAGCCGTTTCTAATCGAGCCGCCTTTGTAGGTACTCGAAAAGATCGGCGTCGGAGATTTGTTCCAGTCGACGGCGAATTTCTCGGTGCTGACCGACGAGAAGGTGTCGCTGGGACGGGGACTGCACAAGGCGAGGATCGAGGTTACGGAGGAGGGTACGAAAGCGGCGGCGGCCACGGTGCTTTTTACGTTTAGGTCGAGCAGACCTTTGGAGCCGGCGATATTTAATTGTAATCATCCGTTCGTTTATCTTATATACAGTAAGGTCGAGCAAGCGATTTTGTTTACGGGCATATTTAGGAGACCGTATTAGCTTTTCGTTATAGGTACTTAGTTATTTATTTATTTGAAATTGTATTACCATTTACCCCCCCCAATTAAATACAATTGACAACTTTGCATGCAATGTTGAATTGAAAAAGAAGGTATGACTCACCGAAATCTCTGGGCCATCGGAATCAAATTAGCCATCCGAGTAACCGATGGCTGTATCTAAAACGAGGAATTGTTAATAAAATGGATTATTTCTATTAAACAAATTACGTACTTGGTATTTGACCATGAGGATGTCTTTGGCGCGATGTAATCCCTTTGCCTCTCCGCCAAAACAACATCACACACAGTTTTTCGAAAATATAGCAAAATTATGACTTTAAAATCACAAACCACGGTTAAAATCACACGAAAACGAAGTTTGATTAACGTAATTTGCAAAATTTTCAAAAAAACCACACGAAGCGTTCAAACCGAGTAAAAATTCCGTTGACGCGTCACTCTACCTAGGTTAGATAAACGGCTAACAGGTGGCGCCACAATATTCCAATAGATCACATTCGTTATAAAATATCTTCAATAAATAGAATTTTTGTTTATTTATTCTTATTTCACTACTTAAAATACTAAAAAAAAAAGATTATTATCTCGCAAAATATCATAAATTACGCATACGTGTCTAACCATGACGGTCCCTTCGAAATAGTGGTCCCCGGAAGATTGACACTTTTAACTTTGGCATAGCCGCCTCTCCCAGAATTTAGTCAACTGTCGTGGGGATGTGTCCCTTGTAGGAAGTAACAGGGGTGCATCTCCACCGCTTTTGTTGCCACTGCGTTGGGCCCCGACATATGCCAAACAATGTAGTGGATCGGGGTGGTTGTGGGGTGGAGGGCGGCTAACTGAGGTGTTGCCCTACACAAAAGCCAGCTTTTCCACTTACAGTTGCAACTGCAAACAACTTAATAACTCAATACACCAAGGCCCAGCGCAGGGTTTACTAAGTGGAAAATGATGTTAGATACTAGATAGGCGCCATGCGAGAGAAGCCTTCAAAGGACCACCCCGTAGCCTGGCGCGTTTTTGCACAGGGCTAGCAAGAAAGAACCTGAGGTTACTCGTGGGCATACTTTCTGAGCACTGCACACTATACCAATCAAGAGTGGGATTTTGCAGCTATCGCTAACCCGTTGCACATTTTGCCCAAAAGCATCTTGGTCGGACATGGGAGTCGCCTCCCCTTCCAGCATCCTTAGGTTCATCTCACGTGTAGGATGGCTTACAATATCCAAGCTCTTACGACTTCCGTTATCCCGATGTCTGGCTGAAGAGGGCCAGAAAACCCTTAGCATCCCGCCTTCGGTATCCCTCGGGGTGTCGGAGGAATGAAACACGATGTCCATGAACCTAGCAGAGTAAGGTCAGCAGAACACAATCAAACATATTGCATAATTAGGTGCTAATTAAGTGTCCTATTCCCGAATTAAATGCTCCTTTTTTTTTAAATTGTTACATAATTAAAAAAAGGAGCATTTAATTCGGGAATAGGACACTTAATTAGCACCTAATTATAGTTAGTTCACTTTTCATTTTCTTGGGTTTTTAAGGTAGTGCTCTGCTGAGTTCATATGAACCTGGCAGAACATGTCATAGTTTAAAAAAAAGGAGCATGTAATTCGGGAATAGGGCACTTAATTAGCACCTAATTTGCACCTAATTATAGTTAGTTCACTTTTCATTTTCTTGGGTTTTTAAGGTAGTGACTGAGTTCATATGAACCTGCGGCAGAACATGTAGTAATTTAAAAAAAAGGAGCATTTAATTCGGGGATAGGGCACCTAATTTGCACCTAATTATAGTTAGTTCACTTTTCATTTTCTTGGGTTTTTAAGGTAGTGCTCTGGTGAGTTCATATGAACCTGGCAGAACATGTAATAATTTAAAAAAAGGAGCATTTAATTCGGGGATAGGGCACCTAATTATGCAATATGTTTGATTGTGTTCTGCTGACCTTGCTCTGCTAGGTTAATGGACATTGAAACACGTTGACCTTTTTCTTTTGAACCTTCTCATTAATAGCCTTTCTGAGTTTTCTAAACACCTCCTTCGAGCCTTGTCGATGCACCTTTAGAATCTGATCGACGTCTACTTTCAACCCCCCTCCTAGCTCTTACGACGCTCCCTTCGAGTTTTCTCGACGCGTCTTTCGAACCTTTTCCCCGTCATCTTCGTTTTTAAGTTTTCTCGACGTCTTTTATCTTTCTCTGTTTCTAGCCTTGTCGATGCTGTCTATTTCACGCCTCCCCTTTCTGCATTTCCCCACGCTGTCTTCGTGCATTCTCAACTTCGCCTTCGAACTTTTTGGCCGCATCCTTCGAGGCTTATCGACGTCTCAACGCTTGTGTAGCGTCGTGACGCCTGGAGCTCTGTTCACGCCTTCTTCGAGTCCTTACACCATCACTTTCTAGCTTTCGCGACGTCTCCTTTCTAACTGTCCCGACCCCTTCTTCGACACCGAACGCATTCTCTCAAGTCTCGAAATCTTCTTTTAGCTTTCGTGGCATCTCCTTCGAGCCTTCTCGTCACCGCTTGCGAGCTTCCTTGACTCCGTTTTTTAGTCTTATCGTCTTCGCACCTACTTCGTACCTCCTTTCCGCCACTTCCCAGCCGTTTCGAAGGTCTTCTTCGGGATTATTCGGAAGCCTTCTTGACGCTTGTCTTGTCAGCGTCATATTTAAACTTTCTTCTCGACGTCAGATTTTACTCTTTACGCTCCTTTTGAGCCTCTTCGACGCCTCCTTAAGACTTTCTCGACGCTTCTAATTCTCGCAACGCCTCTTTCGAGCCTTCTCGATGCCTGTTCCACGACGCTTTTCTGTATTCGTCTCGACGCCTTATTATTTATTTTTTCCCGTAGTCATTCTTTAAGATATAAGGTGTGCTGCCTAACCGTAGGGGCATATCACCACAATACGGACAACTTGCACCACTTTGGTGCTATTATAATTGAATTTAGTTATAAATGCTATTACTATATTTATTATCCAATTTGATGGAGAATTCCCATTTATAATCATTTACACAAGTCCGTCGTTGTCTTTCGCTCAAGTGTATGTTGGGTTGCCTACATAGTTGCTTATTGATAAAAGAAGGGCCCTTAAAATTCTGAGCGTACTATTTATTCTGTGTATTGAAAAAAACAAGAACACTTTCTTTACAAATGGACACGTTGCAAATCTTCTACAAATTGGTCCAGATTCAAGATAACGCAGATACCTTATCTTTATTTTATAGGACATTTGTAATAGACCAATTAAGATTACACCCATTCTATTAAAATTACTACGTATTTTATAAAACAAGGTCAAGGTATTGTTTTATTTACAGTTGCCAAGGACCAATGCAACTGGGAAGTTATAATAAATTTCCCCACTTAATATCATAATTGAAATTCCTATGTCACGGGAACAAACTTAATTAGTAGGTACCGTAATTGGTTAGGGAATTACCTACATGCTTAATTAAGTAGTCCGAACCTGCCCACGTGTGGGCGCTATCGATAAAATTTACCTGGAGCCTGTCTGAAGTGGAAAGCTATCTTGTCTGACGTGACGTCCGCCACGACGCGCAATCATACGATTTAACGTCACGCGTCACGTGGCTGTGACACATAGCCACACACCTGCATAACCCCACGAGAAAATCAATAAAAATGTGTGAAAATTGAATGTGATTGTTGTAAATAAAGGATGCGAGAATATGTCCGTTATGTTTGTATAATTCGCGATGAGTTGTGAAGGTGACGTTTGCGCCACGTTTAACTTTATTGGCGACGGCGAGGGCGACCACGTTCAGCCAGTTCATTTCGCCTTCCGAGTCCTGACGTAGTGAGCTTTTGCAGAAGAATCGGGGCTCTATATTTTTGTATTTATGTTCCTCGCAGTATGTTAGGTAAGTACGGTCCTGTTTGTGTGTGTTTTTTGGGGGGTTAATTTTGAATCCTGCTGTGGTCTCACAAAAAAAGTGATTGGCTAACAATATTTTGAGGTTATGTGATTTTGGGGGTGCAAACATTTAAATGTCAACTAGACAGAAATTTACGTAATAATATTTACATTTCGATAAGAGTCCTTTCCGAAGATATTATCGCTTATCTGCATTTTAGATTTTCATACATCAGGTGGGACCGAAACTAATCCGTCAGTAATCATGTCACGGAAGCGTACCAGAAGCCGGTCCGAGGACAACATCTACGAAAGCCGTACGAAAATGCAGCCCATTATGGTATGTTACATTTTATTATTTGAAGAAATTGGGGTACTGAAAAGCGGCCGATATTAATTTATTCGGCCTTGAACTAATCTAGATAGTCTACCAATGATAAACTTCGCTTACCTTTTCGTCTATCTCAGGGGATACCACGCTTTACAGGTTTATTCATTGCTTATGTTAAATAAATTGGGGGCGCATTATATTACAAAGTGTTAATCGTGCCATATTGTGTTCTGACCATAGCAGTATAAGCCCAGCAGATTTAAGGTAATGTAGCACAATATTTGCTTGATCGTTTCTTTTAGTTTCGTTCTGTTCGCTTTAATTTCTTCTCTTTCTATACGTTCTGTTTGTGCTACTTTCGATGTGGAGTTCCGTGAACGAACTTTACCAAATTTCGTTGGCTTTGACCTCTACATCGGTTTAAACCGGTTTGCTTGTTATGCATGTCGCTAATCTCACTGTGCCAGTTTTTCCGAGCTTCTCGCTAATATGCCAACGAGGGGAATACCACTTAACTTACATATACTGGTACAAAGACTATGGACTGTACAAACAAAATTTATTATGGGTGAGTCAACGAAGGATTTGTCGAGTTATGCTTTTGTACGATAATATGGTAGGTAGCATAAAAATTTGCATATTTTTAAAAGTAGGGGGCTGAAAAGATAAATTTTTTTAAATGGGACGCCCTGTATATTGTAGTTTCATTAATAAGGTCCGATACCTACATATCTGCAATGGTTTTATTGGATTTCTATATACAATTTGGGAAATCAAGTTATCCATAAAATAAGAAAAACAAATAAAAATAAACAAAAACATTGGATTTAAAATAATTTTTTGTTTAAATAAGTTAATAGATCTGTGTTGTTTTGGGCGAGGCCAAGGGCTATCCAAATAAAGATTGTTTTTTTGTAGTTTATAAAATTTGTTTTTTCTTGCATTTAGCTCATAAATAATTATCAAGATAACGAAGAAACCGTTTGTTTTTTTAAAGAGATACTTTTTCAGTCCAACTTCTCCCCTACAACCTGGCACGATTAGATTTTAAGTGCAACGTTTTGGTTTTTTGAAACCATCATCACCTTCATTTTTTGAATACGAACATGCATTCTTTCTGAAAAAATCCATGTACGTAGAAGTTAGAAGAATGAAGGGTAGTATAATACATAATAATTAATATTTTTAATTTTTGGTGTGGCATAAGTGCTAATGGTTTTAAGCATACACCTCGTTTAAGAATATTTTGTTTTTTATTGTTTAGTTTTTTTTCCTTTAATAAGGTTAAGTGGAAGAGCAGACTGCAGTACTGAACTTTGCCTTTAATTTGGATGTAGTGGCATAAATGTTTCTTCTATTTTTTGAACAATAAAGGCAGTTTTATTATTTTTTCCTCACTTTTGTGGAGTTATATCAGTAGACGGGTGTTAACACCAGGTTATTATTATTATTATTATTAATAATAAAACGTGATGTTTAAAGATATTCCGGTTACACGGTCATCTTATCATTGATGCGTCCTCACGGCGATTTCTCAGGTTAATCTGAAAATGCAAAACAATGAAAGAGATTTCTGTTGGTCAATTTTTATTTTATTTTAATATTAAATTTTTCGAGAAATTTTTTTTTAATTTAATTTTTTTTTGTGTCCCTTTACACGGCCCATCCTATCGTCGGTGCGTCCCCGCGCCGTTAGGTTATGTTGAAATTGCAAAACAGCGCTTTTTTAACAATGATTTTTTTTGGTTATGGAATGTGACCATCGTCCCCTGTCCTTTTTTTTTGGAAATGGAATTAATTGGAATGGGTAGGATCTTCCTGCTCTTTTGGTTTTTTTTTAATGGAATTAATTGGAATGCGTGGGATTTTTGTCTCCTTGGATTTCTTTTTTTGAAACAGGATTAATTGGGATGATTTTTTGGATTTTTTTGAAATGGAATAACAATAGGCGTGCGGTAATTCGGCACACTTAGTAGTCCGACATTTGCTTTTGTTTCATAGCCACCTTATTTTTTGTGTAAATTTTGCTTTATTGTCAATTTTAGTATGGTAGCATTTAGTAATTATTGCGACACATGTATTTTGTTTATAATGACAAGCACTTTCGCAATACAAAATGAAGAATGCAGTTCTGTATAAAGTTGATCCAAAAACTAGATTTCTGGATACAACTGAAGGGGACATAATTAAAACAAAACATCAGCAAATTTTGTTTTTTTCCTGTTTTTACTTACAAATCAGCATTCGATTCGGTCTCCGCCTATACTTTGTATCTGTTATGGCTAGGGTTTAAGACACTGTCCAGTGTGGGACAGAGATGGAGCGATGAGTAAGACATGGCTACCTACTGCATAATGTTTAGTCACGAATTTAATACAAGTGGATAGCTTCAAAGAAGGAACAGAATTCAAAAACCAAAATTCTAAATTCTAGAGTTCAAATATTACATACAGCGAAATTTAAAATTCTATATTTAAACAAAAAGATAAGAAAGTTCCGGGACATGATAAGATAAATAATGTTATGCGAATTAAAACATAAGAACTACGAGGAAAGTCAATAATAAACAATTACCTCAGTGGCCGGAAAACTCTGTTAAAAAGTAAATTTCATGCATTCACAAGCAAATTAAGTGTTGTCCGCAAGGATCTTTGGGCCAACTATGCGGAATATAGTTCTTAATTCAAGAGAAATTCCAAAAAAAATATTTCTGAAAATTTTTTACAAAATTTGGATTTATGGTGCTATACAGGGTGTTAATACTAAGTCATTACAACTTTTCTTAGTTCCAATTTTTGATTTAGTGCCCTGGTTCGAAGTTATTGGCGTTCTTTTGTTTTCCGAAAAATCTAAACTCCCTTATGTTAAGGACTATTGAAAGAAAACAAAAATTTTTAGCTCTCTAAAACATTTGTATTTACAATTATTTTTTAAATAATAAAATAGCGATCGATCAAAAATTTCAAACAACCACCATCGATTTTTGAAAGTAAAACATTTATAAAATCCCTACCCTATACTACAACATTTGTCCTAAACATTTTTTTTTTCACCCTGTATAAGGATAAATTAGAAAAAAAATGGAAATGGGCACAAAACATTCACCAAAAATAAGAGTAAAAAATAAAAATCGTCAAGAATATAAAATTATGTGGATGTAACTTTCGCAGAAAAATTGGGATTAAATGGTCACAATTCGAAGTCAATTATTTAAATAAATATTTATCTGAGTATTTGCGCTTCGGAAAATATTAAATACTTGTAGTACGCAAAATGCTCTTGTTCATATTAAATGGTGACTATTTCACTATCAAAAATTATTATATACAGGGTGTCCAAAGAAATAAAACTATTTGGGGTCTGCATTTTTACACTATGTATCTTCTCAAATATTTGACGGATATTTACAAAACCATGAAAATACATTTTACTGATGCGCAAAAAAAAATTACCCTCATTTGATGGCTATTTTAACAAAAAAAAGATTCTGAAAATCTATAGACACCTTGCCAAGTGATATGCCAGCCTACTGAACGCAATACTTGGTCAAGTGGTCGAATTGAGCCAAATATGATTTATTTTTTTTTCAAAACTTGAATATACGGGGTGTGTCTAAAAGAAGGTCGAATATTTTAGCTGGCTATAGTACTCTTGAAAAGAAACAAAAAATCCGCAAATTAAATGTTTCAGAGCTAGAGTTGATTTTGTAGCTTCATTTAAATATTTTTGTATTCGAACGAATAGAGCTCTCGCCACAAATTTGAACAAACTGTACTGACGTTTGACAGTAGGGATTGTTAAAACCGCAACTATGTAAAAGACAACACTGACTGTACAAGTGGTTTCCCCCTCGTTTACCAAATACGAATTTGTTATTCTTCCTTTTACGTTTCAGTCTGTCTATCAACAAGCGCCGTTCAGCGACGAACCGGAGGCGATTAAGTTGCTAAACGCCTGCAACTACAAACTTAAAATAACAAAAGAGATCGCGGTGAGCGGCAGAGCTCCGCGCGCTGTACGCATCTATGCGGACGGCGCCTACGATCTATTTCACGAGGGCCACGCCAAACAACTGCAGCAGGCCAAGAATCTGTGCCCAAATGCGTACTTGATAGTCGGAGGTAAGGGGAACATAGCGAGGCAAAGAATTTTACCGCACTATAGCACTGCCAGTTGACCAGGTTATTTGAAATTTTCTAATTGAAACTAATTTAGTGATGCATGGGGTAATTAGCACCAATTAACATATCTGTCAATGTGACACATTTATCTGTCCCATTAGAACTAAGGGATAATTAGTATGAATTAATTAATCATTTTATTACAATTGATAAATGGAACGTGACTATTAGGGTTAATTAATTTTTTACAGAACTCTGATGGATAATTTATAATTAACAAATTGGTATATCATATAATTCCAAATTTTAGTCGGTGCATTAATTAATTAACTTGAACAATAATTCAATTGATTAGTTACAATGATGGTATAGCAAACAAATCGTTTTTGTGAGGGGCGAGGAAGGGAAATTTCAGGTCATTTCCGATTTTTCAGACGTGGAGCAGAAGAAAAAGGGTTTAAGAAGATTAGGCGGTTAGGAAATAATACACTCTTCGGAGATCGGCATAGTATTTAATTTGAATATTGTTGCTTTGGCTTCTGTATTTTTATTATCGTTCGTGTGCGAAGAAAAAATTGATATTGTCAATTGGTGTAGTGCCGGTAACAGTTTTAAGGATTAAAATATAATTAATATGATAGCCAGATCTTCATTTGTTTTAAGAAGTTATTTTGGTTGCATAAAATTAGGTGCCCTTCAGAAGAAATGTAATTTAAAAGTAGGTATAGGGAAATGCACATAAATCCCTATGTCTACTTCTTAATTAATATCACGTTTTAATATTGTAGCATACGCAACACGTCATACGTGTATTGTGTATTGCCTACTTTTAATTTGAATTTTCGATGCAACATGGCGGCTGAGCTATTATTGTCGCCACTGTCTCTCTAGAGTCACTGTAGCATGAACTGTCTCTCATTAGATAATTAATATGATGCGTCAATTAGTGCTAATTGGCAAGGCAGATATTTCTAATTGACCGTCAAATTGTCAATTAGCCATAATTGGGTTATTTAATATTTTTTTAAATAAAAAAGCTACACTATATTGAATTGAAATTGTTTTTTTTTAAATTAAGTTTTTCTTCTGTGATTTTCAGTGTATCTCTGCTATAAGTGATGATAGAAAATTCTCTGCTGGTATGAACACATAAGTAACAAACCGTTAACATTTTGTTTTCAGTTTGCAGCGATGACATGCTACACAAGCTGAAAGGGCTAACCGTTCTCAACGAAAATGAAAGGTACGAAGCGGTGCGCCACTGTCGATACGTCGACGAGGTCGTCAGAGACGCCCCCTGGGTGGTCACGGACGACTTCTTAGAGGCGCACAAGATCGATTTCGTCGCGCACGACGATTTGCCGTACGCGTGCGGCGACACCTCCGACATCTACGCGACCTTAAAGGCGAAAGGCATGTTTCTGGCGACGAACCGAACTGAAGGCGTTTCCACGTCGGAGATCGTCGCGCGTATAGTTCGCGATTACGACGAGTACGCGCGGCGCAATCTCGAGCGCGGTTACTCGGCGAAGGATTTAAATATCTCCTACCTGAAGGAGAAGCGAATTCGATTCAAACGAAAAATGCACGAACTGAGAGACAAGGGGAAGAACGTCATCGGCAGCATCGGCGAGAGGACGGACGATATGATCTCGAAATGGGAAGAAAAATCCAAGGATTTCGTCGAAAGCTTCCTCGGGCGGTTCGGCAAAGAGAAATTGACGAATATTTGGAAGGAGTCGAAGAATAAAATTTTAAACGCATTCAGTCCGCCCGGATCGCCGGGGAATAGCACGGATAGTTCTGTTAATGGCGATATTTCAGAAGATGAAGAGTATAAAGTTGCTCCGAAGGCGAAACGAGCACGAATTTATTCTTAACTACATTTAATTATGCGTTGTTAATGAACGTTAATAAATAGCGCTGAAGGTTAGGGTTTCAGTTCCATACTTCTTAATTGGAGAATTTATCAGGCGTCTGGCAGTGTTGCCATATTTATGAGAATTTAGCGTACTGAATAAAGTCTAAAGATGTGAGGGAGTTTTGTTTGCTGTTCATGAACCCGCCCCCTTTGCATTTGGTAGCCAGAAGAGACCTTGCACAATTTTCAGGTATATTTTCGACTGTCCGTCGGTGAAACTATGTTTGAAATTTTTGTTTCTGTTATTATTTACATATCCTTTTAAATGCAATTGTTTTATTTTGTATTTCCCTTGTAAATCTCCCCTTAATCCTTTGTAAATTACATGCGAACATGTTGTTTAATAATTTGTCACCTCTAAAAAGAGAATAAGGGGTAGTGTACCTGTACACCTCTTAATTGAACACCCCCTGGTACAGCTGCCTTAGCAAACTGTAATAAAATGTGATGTTTTCATGTTTAACATACCTTAACTGCCTGTCATCAGTGTGTTTTTTTAAAATTCCGGAATGTGACATTCCAGAATTACATTGGAATCGCCGTTAGTAATTTTTTTATTATGGAATGTGACTTTTTTAAAATTATTCCGGAATGTTGCTTTTTTATCATTCCGGAATTACATTGGAATCGCCTTTTTTAATTTTTTTATTACGTGACGCAGCTTTTTTTTAAAAATTCCGGAATTTTTAATTTTTTTTGATTCCGGAATGTGGCTTTTTATCATTCCGGAATTACAATGGAATCGCCTTTTTATTTATTTATTTATTTTGCCTTTATTTTTGAGTGGGCGGGGTTTCAGCCAAGGCTGCTCTACCAACCCAACCCACTATACATTTACAAATATCCATGCCCGAACCCGGATTCGAACCAGGGACCCTAGCACCACAGTCCAGTTTCAACTGAACTGCGCCACACGAGCCGGCCTTTTTCATTTTGTTATTACGGAATGTGGCTTTTTAAAAAATTATTCCGGAATGTTGCTTTTTTGTCATTCCGGAATTACATTGGAATCGCCTTTTTTAATTTTTTTGTTACGTACCGCAGCTTTTTTAAAAATTCGGGAGTTGGAATCGCTTTTTTAAATTTTTTTTTGACTCCGGAATGTGGCTTTTTATCATTCTGGAATTACAATGGAATCACCTTTTTAATTTTTTGTATTACGGAGTGTGGCTTTTTTTAAATCATTCTGGAATTATATCGGAATCGCTTTTTTCATAAATTTTTTTAACTTTCGGAGTGCATCCGAATGTGGCTTTTTTTAGAATCATTTCGAAATCACATCGGAATCGCCTTTTTTAATTTTTTATTACGTAACGCAGCTTTTTTAAAAATTCGGGAAATGGAATCGTTTTTTTTAATTTTTTTTTATTCCGGCATGTGGCTTTTTATCATTCCGGAATTACAATGGAATCGTCTTTTTAATTTTTTGTATTACGGAGTGTGGCTTTTTTTAAATCACTTTGGAATTATATCGGAATCGCTTTTTTTCATAAATTTTTTTAACTTTCAGAGTGCATCGGAATGTGACTTTTTTTTAAATCATTCCGAAATCGCATCGTGATAGCGTTTTTTAGTTAATTTATATTTTATTCCGGAATGTGGCTTTTTTAAATCATTTCGGAATTACATTGGAGTCGAAATGTTTTTGCCAAAATCCGGAATACTTTTTTTCATCTGAATGCTCTTTTGTTTTTTTTTCACTGGAATGTTTTTTATATATTTTTTGATTCTGGAACACATCGGAATGTTTTTTTAAAATTCCGGAATGTGGCTTTTTTGCCATTCCGGAGTTACATTAGAATTTTAATTTTTTTAAATTCCGGATTGTGGATTTTTTAAAAATCTCCGGAATTACATTGGAATCGCCTTTTTTAATTTTAATTTTTTAAATTCCGGAATGCAGAGGAATGTGGCCGTTTTAAATCATTCCGGAGTGCATCAAAATGTGACTATTTTATAATCATTCCGAAATTACATTGGAATCGCGTTTTTTAATTAATTTATGGCTTGAATTTTTGAATTATTCTGGAATGTGGCTTTTTAAATAATCATTCTGGAATTATATTGAAATTGCCTTTTTTAATTTTAAATTCTTTTTTCTTACGAAATGCATCTGAATGTCGATTTTTTAACATCATTCTGGAATGACATCGGAACTTGATTTGTATTTTATTCCTGAATGCATCGGAATGTGACTTTTTAATCTTTCCGGAATTACATTGGAATCGCCTTTTTTAATTTTAATTTTTTTAATTCCGGATGTCATCGGAATGTGGCCGTTTTAAATCATTCCGGAGTGCATCAAAATGTGACTATTTTATAAACATTCCGAAATTACATTGTAATCGCGTTTTTTATAATTAATTTATGGCTTGAATTTTTGGATTATTCTGGAATGTGGCTTTTTTCAAAATCATTCTGGAATTAACATTGAAATTGCCTTTTTTATTTTTAAATTCTTTTTTCTTGCGGAATGCATCTGAATGTGGATTTTTTAACATCATTCTGGAATTACATCGGAATCGCGTTTTTTTAATTTAATTTGTATTTTATTCCGGAATGCATAGGAATGTGACTTTTTACTCATTCCGGAATTCCATCGGAATCGCGGTTTTTTACTTAGTTTGTATTTTATTCCGGAATGCATCGGAATGTAGCTTTTTAATCTTTCCGGAATTACATCAGACTCGAACATAGATTATAGGGGTCCTGTTTGCTGAGAAAAATACTCAATTTTGGGACTTTCGGAATGTAATTCCCAAATAAAACATTTTGAATTCTTGCATTTTTTAGCGTCACCCATGGAAGCGAAACTTTGTTGAAATCCATCTGAGCGCACTATAACACCCGAAGGGAGGGTCTTAGCTTTTTGAAACTTGTTCTTTTGGGTCCCTAATCCTATTGGAGTTGGGGTCAAAAAGTGAACATATGACACACAGTGGGTATATGTTTTTGATGTACTTTTGAAACTGTAATATTTCTTGTTTGCAAAATTGCGCACAATTTTTTTGTTATAAATAATTTTGTGGTCCAATAACGATTAATTGACGGATGTTTGATAAATGTTATGTAGGTATAAATTCAATTATTCGTGGAATTGCGGTAGGTATCCAATTGTGGCCTCTAATAGGAAACAAATTACAGTATAATGTCAATTAGCTTGGCCTATTTTATGACGCATTACATTTTTGCGATCTAGTAATAAAATAAATTTGCCTAATGATGAGACACTTTTGGATTTACCCAAAAAATTACGGTTAATTGGGGGACCAATTGTTCCTTTGGGATTTGCGACGAAAATTATTAAAACGTGTCACAAAACAATGCGTTTAATGCTGTGATATGGCGACCTTCATTTAATAATTGGCAGGTTTATTGATTTCCGTCATTGATAGTTGAGATTGAATTTAGTTTTAGTGTGACTATGTAAATGCATTGTTTAAGTGTAAATGGAAATTCACGTGAGTGACATAGTGAAGGATCTTCAGGTGCGTCAATCCGCTAATTTTATGCGCATAATAAAAAAAGAAATTTCGTACGTGGGCATCAAGCCCAAAAATTTGATAGGAAACCATCCCTACTGGGAATAGTAGTAAATTTTCGTGATGGGTGTACCACAAAGGTCAAATTTAGGACCTCTGCTATTGCCCTGAAATTATGTCAAGCTAATCCTCTAGTTTTCTGAAGTGGCCCTATTATCTCTGTTGTTTCCTTATGTCGTTCCAGAGTTTTCTCTTGTGTAACAAATACCGCGGTGGAATTGCGGAGATCCGCTCGAGAGAGGAGGGAGCGGCGGGAAGAAGATTTCTGCTACGACGACGAGTGATGAAGGATTATTCGTTCTTGCGACTCAGTGGAATGTTTTGCTATTATTCTTATCCTAAAAAATGTAGTTTGTTTTGTGGTCTCAGTAAAGAAGTATTTGATTCCTAAATGAATTACAAGAGAACCCGGTAACCCCCCTTATAAATTGGCGCCCAAAACTTGTGGCTTGTACCCAATAGGAATCAAAAAGTGGTTTTGTGTTATCGTGTAATATTGTGCAATCGTGCAAAGACAACGAAAAATAAGTTACACGTGCAGTGTCGACACATTTTTCGTCAATCAACGTTTACAAAACTTTATACGATTAAGGCATATCAAGTGAATCCGAAGAACTGGACATCGCTAGGTAACCCAATCGCACAAAAGTTTTCATTTTCCATTTACTCGGTGAGTTATTTTAAGTTAACAAACTTCCACCCTGTCTTCGACGAATAGATCGCCTTATTTGTTAAGAAACTCGAGGAGAAACATGCCTGGAAATGATGTTAATGACCCTAATGAAAGCGCTGCAGCTGCAAGAGGTACGGTAACGCTAACCGCGGACCAATTTCAACAATTGCTTGCGCAAATAGGAAATGTTAATGTTCGGGAAGGTAATTTCACCACGTGTACGGCGCGTTTTAATGGCGCCAAAGGAAGTGACGTCTCCGCGTTTATCGACTCGGTAAAGACATTTAAGGACTGTTCAAAGGTATCTGATGCTAACGCGCTTCGCGGTCTTTCTATGCTACTAGAAGGGTTTGCTGCAACGTGGTGGCAAGGCGTTAAAGATTCTGTAAAGGATTGGGAAATCGCTATTGGGCTCCTAAAAACTACGTTTGGACCAAAGAAACCTGCGTATAAAGTTTATCGCGAGCTTTTTTCCAAAGAACAAGATTTTAAAACTTTATCGGACGTTTTTATTTGTCAGTGTCGCGTCATTCTGTCTCATTTACCCTCCGGTACCCTCAGCGAAGAAGTGCAGATAGATATGATATACGGTTTGTTGTCTCGCCGCATTCGCGAAAAGGTCTCGCGCGAAAAGGTGACGACGTTTAATGATTTACTTCGCGAGTGTCGTTCCGCTGAAGAGACTTTTGTGGACCAATACGATAATAAACTGAATACTGATAACGGAAAGCGCGAAAAGTGTACTTTTTGTAAATATTCCGGCCATACGAAAGAGGAATGCCGGAAATATGCAGCGCAAAAGACAAATAATAACAAAGGGGAAAATAAACAAAGTGATTCCCGCGGTGATTCCACCTCGTCTACTAGCAAAGAAGCTACCTCTAGCTCCTCAACGGTACAGAAG